GGAACACTGTGCAGCACTAAAGAACAACAATTTTGTAAAATACTATGTAAATGGGAGTGTCTAGAAAACATTATGCTGAAGAAACCAGCCCAGTCTCTTAAGGACAAATATTGAATAGGACCATTATTGTAAAAACCTAAGAATAGTTAGTAAGATGTATATGAACATCCGGAAGGGGAAAGGGAGAGGGGAAACAGAGAAAGAACAGGGGATGATGGAAATAACTGGGACAGCAGAATTCAGTGGAAGGATGAGGGATGGTGGAGAAAGAACAGGAAAGATTCAATGGGGACCCAAAAAGACAGGGTAATGGGTATTTCTATTAGTTGTTCTTAGGGGCCATTGAGTCAAGTACAACTCATAGTGACACTATGAACAATTGATATGAACCCTGTCCTGTCCTGTGCCATCCTCATAATCTCTGACACATTTGAGCCCATTATTGCAGTCATAGATCAATAGTTATTACAACAATACAGTGTATATGAATGATTGTATGAAACCACGTTAATGAAAGATTGTTTAATACATTATGTACATTAATGAAACACAAAGTAAATTAATTATTGTATGCAAACCAATAAAAAAGAGTAAAAAATATCTAGTTATAAGTCCTGAAAATTAAAAATACAGTATCTGAAATTTGAACATTCAATATACCAGCTTAAAAGCAGATTGTATGTAACTAAAAAGGTGGGGAATTGATTTAGAAAAATTATCAAGCAAAAATAAGGGAAGAAAACAAAATATAAGCTGCAACAGTAACATTAAGGTAAGGGACAGATTGAGGAAATTCACAGCATAAGAAACTATCAGCAACTGACGTGTTTGGAATCACAGAAGCCAAGGAAGCTTCAGATATAAGTTATCAGATCAAGGGATGGACAATGGGAGATAGATGTTGAAGGCAGTGGGTAGAAGTGGACGGGTATTCTGGTGGATGGTGGAGTAGGGAAATAAGTGGGTAAAGACACGTGTGCCAAAGGCAGAGACAACACTGATACTAATAGCTAACTCCACAATAAGGCATATATCTTTCACTTTTTCTGTAAAATGCTTGTCTGTCAGATACTTCTCTAAATCTGAACATTCAAATTAAGACAGACTAGGAAGAAGGATTGGCCATCCACTTCTGAAATAGCAGGCCTCTGAAAACCCTGTGTACAACAGAACTCACGTAGAATAACAGAAAGGGCAACTGAGGTGGAGCTTTCAAATATGGAAATACAAAGGAAGAGAAACAGTTGTA